GGGGGCCGGGGGGGGGTGGCCTTTTTTTTTGTATTTAGGGGGGGTTGGGGGGGGGGAAGGGGGGGATTGGGCGTGTATGGGGGGGTTGAGTTACTGAGTGGCTGCTTGTTTTGGTGTCAGAATCTGTGTGTATCTTCCTGGGGACTTCCTGGCACTTTTTAAAGAGGTCTCTGTGTTAATAATGTTTTATCTGTTTTTAATTCCTGCTCTGTCATCTTATCACAAAGTTATATGAGCCCTGATGTTGCTTCTGGTAAAGAGATGAGTGACAGTTTTGAAGGAACAAGTGGAGGTGGGAAACAAGAAGGAAAACCTTCAAAGAAACATAAAAAATCAACCCGTACTCGTTCACGTCAGGAAAAATCCAATAGGCCCAAGCTTACCATTTTAAATGTAAGGCTACTTTCCTTGCTCCGTATTTACCTATCTATTTGATTGTATTGGATATAATGATTGGCTCTTTCTATAGGTATGCAATACAGGGGATAAGATGGTGGAATGCCAACTAGAAACACACAATCACAAGATGGTCACTTTTAAATTTGATTTAGATGGCGACGCTCCAGAGGAAATTGCTACTTACATGGTAAGATCTTTTCTTGGTTTAACAATATTGGAATAATAGTGAAATTTTAGTTTCATAAATTGCACAGATTACAGTACTGTTTGTATAGCTATAGACAGTATTTCCAATCTCTTGGAAATTAGCTGTTGAAGTAAAACTAATTTCTATTTAATGTTCCTGTTAGTCTGTGCACAGGGGAATTAGGCTAGAGAGATTGTTACTTTAACAAACAATAAACAAACCACTAATTCCTTTTCATATTTGTTATTTGGAACAATTGCCCTACAATTGTAGTCTTAAAATTTACTGATAACAATCTGTTGTCTCCATTAATTAACTCCAGTAAAGACCAAAACAATTGGAAAGTCCCTTAATGCCCCTCACCCTTATGGATCAAGAATGTTCTGTGAAATGCCTCCTATGCACTGAAGCAGTTAATTTACTATTTAATTGAACTAAGCACAAAATCTGTTTTATGAATGTAAACATTCACACTATGGGGTTTTTTTGTAAAAAAAAAAGTGGATAAGCAATCAGTTAAAAGGGATAAAGAACGAACACAGAAAAACTGCAGGCTTGAAAAATATTTTTTGCGCATTCATGTAGGTCGAAAATGAATTTATATTACCAACTGAGAAAGAGATATTTATTGAGCAACTGAAAGAAATCATTGACAAGGCAGAAGATATGCTTAGTGAAGATACAGAAGGAGAACGAAGTTCTGATCAAGGTGTGAGCCCTCAGCAAGATACTTACAAGCTGGAAATCAATGAGGTATTTTTAAAAAACAATAAAATGAATATAATAGTTAATGTTTCAGCTAGTAAATGTTTCAAACAGTAAATGTTTAACAATTTACTTAACGTCCTCTAGAAGTTATGGATTACAATCCCATCATCCACAGTGAAAGAAACCATATCTGTTTGGTATGGATTGGAATGATGGGACTTGTAGTCCAACACATTACTTTTATTAGCTAGTGTTCAAAGAAGCATTTAATTATTTTTATGCTAGAATATTGTTTTTTGCTGATTAATTTGAGCAAAGATTCCAAATGTAAATACTCTGATATGATTGGCTAATGCTCTTTTTTCATTTTAAATAGGAGAATCGGCAATCCCAGGCAAGGATGCCTATCTACCAACAGAATGGTAAAAGTGTTTCTTTGAATATGCACGTATATCACCTAACACTGTAAGGCACTGTTTCTCAACCTCAGCAACTTTAAGATGCATGGACTTCAACTTCCAGAATTCTCCCAGACAGGAATTGAAGTTCACACATCTTAAAATTGCTGAGGTTGAGAAACACTGCTGTAAGGCAATACTTAATTATAATAATGATTTTAAGATTGTGTCAGAGTCAGCCAGCCAGTCAATAGTCTACACTGAACTCATTCATTTTCTGTAGCACTTTATTCCTTCAGAGATGCTTTTTCATTATTGCATGCATGTGATGACAATTGCTGTGATGAGAGCTTTGGCAGAAAATAAAATGTGAAACTTGGGTAAGCCTATGAATAGCTTTACGTTTGTCTCTCAGATTGGACTTCAAGCATTAATCTCTCAGACTGAACTTCAGTCATTAATCTTCATCTGTTTCACTAACAATACAAAGACATTATTTTTAAATGTGGTACTCATGTATTATGTTATACAGTACAGTAAGTGCTAGTATAACTGCAGTAATAGACTTTGCTAATTGTTGGGTCAAAAGTTTGTTCATTTTAATCTTTCCTGTCTTTAGTTCTGCATACTGGGAAACGTTGGTTTATCATTTGTCCTGTTGTGGAAAATCCAGCTGCTGAAGTGCCAGAATTCTCTTCTCATCCTCCTCAAAGTGCAAAGCAGTCTGAAGCCCCAGGTATCTGTGAGGCTTTAATTTAAAAAAAAAAAAAGTTTTCAAACTGTTTTTAAGAAAAGAAAAAAAAAGGAGAAAATATGCACAAAACCATTTATTGATTTACGCAAGCATTCATACATGCTTCACCTTTCTACTCAAGTGAATACTCAGGTAGCTAACAGTGATTAATATGCAATGTACAAAAAAAATTAAACATTACAGTCAGAGTCAAAATTAATCAACAAAAGTCTCATGGAAAAGATGTTACGGAAAGAATAAGGATGAAATGTAACTCCTGGGACAGTTGCAGGTGAAGGCTCTCTCCTACTTGCCTTGGAAAGGGGAGACATCTTCAGAAGGCCTCTTCTTCAGAAAACTCCTAAATAACTCATAATGGGAGAGACAGTCCTTCAGATAATCAGATCCTAAAATGTTTAGGTTTTTAGAAATTAACATTATTGCAAAAATTATGTCCAACATGCAATTTGGAACTAGTGCAAGGATAGTATGATCCCAAGTCAACAACCTTTGCCACATTTCATGCCCTTTACAGTGTTTCAAGGGCAGCTTCACATGAAGTTTGCTGCAGGGGTGAAAACAGGATGTAACCGAAGTGTGAATCTGGCTCAGAAAGGATTGCAGCTGGTGTACTAGCTGCAATGACACAAACACACTTTTGGCTACAGCTACCACATATGAGTCATATTCCCAAAGTGAAGACGTACTCTTTCAGGATGAATGCAGCTCCACACAAAAATAAGTTGAATGCAGTCCCCGAGCATAGGTGCTGTTAAACTGTGGGTTGAGCAAAATGCACGTGCACACAAAAGTTAACTGCTATCAGACATTGCTTCCACTCTATCTACACAAGTCAACATCCGATTTGTTCAAGCAATCCTACAGAAAATTCTGGCAGGGTTCCATTTAAAAAGTATCATTTTACATTTGATTACATTATTGCTTATTTCCACTGAAAAGGTTTTATTTTGCAAGGTTCTATCATTTTATATATATTCATTAAAATGTAATTATTATAAATAATAATTAGAGAGCCAGTCTGGTGTAGTGGTTAACGCATTAGGTTAGAAATTAGGAGACTGTAAATTCTAGTCCTGCCTAAGCACAAAGCCAGCTGGGTGACCTTGAGCCAGTCATTCTCTCTCAGCCATAAGAAGGAAGCAATGCCAAACCATTTCTGAAAGCCTTGCCAAGAAAACTGCAGGGACTTGTCCAGGCAGTCTCTGAGAATCGGACACAATTAAACAGATTAAAAAAAAAGTATAAGTAAGTGGAATAGTTACTTTTATTTCTTCCCAACCCTAACTTCAGTGAAATCATTCATTTTATTCATGGCTCCCAAATGTGTTGATAACTTACAAATCCTCCCATAATGCCTTCACAATGCATGGACTTAATTTCAGCTTGTGCTCCCTTATCTAGCGCATCATAAAGCTAAAAACCTGGCCAGTAAAACAGTGTACAAAATACTAGTTCAGGGTATTTTTATTTTATTTTATTTGTCAATGGTACTTGACAGAAATATCCAAAAAATGTAAAAAGATCATGAATAAGCTATATTTTCTCATTGTTTTAAGGTAACAATTTGATTTCTAGAGCAGTAGTTTTCATACTTTTGGATCTCAGGGCCTCTTTAAATTTTAAAAAATTATTGAGGACCCCAAACAGCTTTTATTTAAGTGGGTTATATCTGTTGATATTTACCATATTAGAAATTAAATTTGAGACATTTTACAAATATTTATTAATTCATTGAAAAATAATAATAAAGATATTTTTATGAAAAATAATTATATATTCCAAAATAATTGTGAGAAGAGTGGCATTGTTTTACATTTTTGCAAATCTCTTTCATGTCTAGCTTAGTAGAACACAGCTAGGTTCTCACATCGGCTTCTACATTCAATCTGTTCCAATCTGTTGTTTTGGTTGAAGTCTTGAGAAAATGTCTACCAAATACTCAAGTCTGAATGACCATGGCTTGTCTGTCAGGCATTCTTTCAAGTCATTATGTTGTTCCATGAAAAAAATGGGTAGTTCAGCTCACAACTCAAACAATCGCACAAGTGCATTTCCTTGAGACAGCCCTAAAAGCAACAGAAGTGCTTTATGAGTACTTCCCATTTCATCACACAGAATTTTAAAAAATGTGTACTTAAGGGTCGAGATTTAATAAATGTCCAATTTTTACTGTTTCATCAAGGATATTCTTAAATGAAACTGGTTTTTTTTTTTTTTTTTACTGTATGTGGCAGTAAAGAATACAATGACTATTGTACAGTTTGCTGCCACAGCCTTGAATCATGTTAAAGTGCCAGAAGTTGTACCTATGATTACTTTTGTACCATCAGTGGAAATATCAAAACAGTTGTTCCAGGATAAACTATGATATTCAAAAAAGTTATTCAATGCTTGTGTTTGTTGCCGAGTATTCACATAAAAGAAGATCTTCAATGATTAGTTGATGCTGATACTGGACAAATACAAGCAAAACAGCAAGTCCAGCCACGTCAATAGATCTGTCCATTTGTAAAGCAAAAGTACAATTCTGCAGATGAGATATTAACTCAGTCTTTATGTCTGCACTAAATCTTTGATTGAATGAGTTACTGTGTCATTGGAAAATGGCACTGCCATGATTTCTTTAACTGACTGCAGGCTTTCAGCAATGTGAACTATACAAGGGTTTATTAGCCTCTCTGCATTTGTGCGTGCTTCTCCAGCCAATGCAATATGATAACTTGCCCTGTAAGATGCTTCAGTGTTTTTTTCATTTCTAGTTTGAAAAACTGTAACAATTTTTGGCTTTTAAAGAGCTCATCATGTCTACATTTAAAATAATTAATTCCTTTTTCTTTAAACTGTGAATCACTGCTCTCATAATGACACTACAACTTAATTGACACCATAATTCTATTTTAAAAAATATATTGCATAAGACACAACAAGGTAAATTACTAACGTCTATAAAACCAAGATAAAGATAGCTTTTGTCATATTTTCATTTCTTATTTACAGTTTTGCCCAGTTTCTTTAGAGCAGATTCCTCCCTTTCATGAACCCAAGAACTCTCTGATATATAAGCGTCATCTTTTCCAGCATCTTTAGACATAGATGGTCCAGCTGTGGGTTGAGAAAGCAAGTCTTATAATTTTCCTTTTTTAAGCTAACAGTCTGTCCTTAAATATAAGAAAAATATATTATAAATAAAGGTTCTTTTATTTTAGAATAAAATATTATTAAATTGTAAAAGAATAAGAGTTTTAGATAAAATTTAAAAATTCAGAAACATCTTTTTTTTAAAAAAAATATATATTATTGCAAAATAAGCCAACAAAGTGTGCTTATTTCTTGTGTTTCCATGTAGAAACACAAGAAAAACTTTGAGATTTCAAAATAACTATTTATGAGACAATAATGAGGTTACAGAGATTATAACAGATATAAGAGAGTCTATTTGGTGTAGTGGTTAAGGTGCTGGCCGAAAAGAGGGTAGGATGGCCTTTGCACAGCTTTGTGTTGTGCGCCAGTTGCACCCATTCCTGGATCAGGAGGCTCTGCTCACAGTTGCCCATGCCTTAGTCACCTCCCAATTGGATTACTGCAATGCACTTTACATGGGGCTACCCTAGAAGAGTATCTGGAAGCTTCAGCTGGTGCAAAATGCAACAACGAGGGCAGTTATGTATGCTTCTAGAACAGCACATTTTACACCTCTGCTCCGCAAGCTGCATTGGTTGCCAATCTGCTTCCGAGTCCAATTCAAGGTGCTGGTTTTGACCTTTAAAGCCCTTCATGGCGTGGAGCCAGGTTATTTGAGGGAACTCCTCTCCCCAATTACTTCCGCCTGTCCCAGCAGATGTGGCAAGAGAGACTTGCTACGGGTGCCATCAGACAGGGAACTACACTTGGCGGGCCTGAGGAGGCGGGCTTTCTCTGCCGTGGCTCCTGCCTTATGGGACTTCCTCCCCCGTCTTAAGTGAGAACTGATTTCCAGCAGTCTGCGGACCACACTTTGAGAACTGCTGAAGATTGGAATAGTTGAGGGAGGCACTGTGAGAATAAGGGAGAATAATTTAGTGTCAGAACCTTGCTACAAAGGCTATACATTTATGGACATATTACCTTGAACCATTTTTGTTTTATACTTGCAGATGTAATTGAAATGCTTGTCATATAAATGAATTTTAAAGTTTCATGTAATACACTGAATGCCTTGTTATTAATCTTAATCTTCTAGTTGGTTAAAATGGGACAGTGCATCGTTATTGTTAATAAAGTGCAGTATAGCTGTATTAGAAAAATCACTAGGATGAACTGTTATACTCAGAATAGCCTTTTTTAAAATGTTATATTATAATTAAGCATGTATAACTGTTTGATTTAGAATACTTTTAGTTGAGAAAATATTTCATCTTAATTTTGGGGGGGGGGAAATGTAGTGCTCAATGCTTTTTTGAGGTCTCTATAAATATTTAGATTTTACAAAGTTATTTTCTGAATTCAGAAACTTCTTTTTGCTTTTGTTGTTTATAGGTCAGGAGCTGTTGGATGATCAGCCACAGAGCTCTGCAGTGACAGAAACACAAGCAAACATAGCTTATCAACATCTTTCTAATCAACTTAGTTCCTATGAATGTCCCAGGGGAACTCCTCCTCCTTCTCCCTTGACACAAGTTTCTGTTCCATCTGCATTAACTTCCCTTTCACAGGTTCATCCAGAAACATACACTGAAACCCCTCTAACGTTAGCTTCATCTACACTAGAACAAGCTATTGAAAGTACAGGTCAGCTAGAATGCTCTTTGCTACAACCAGTCTTAGCTAGTCAGTCTGATGCTCCTGCCCACACTGCAGTTTCATTTGAAGAACGTTTTGAGGCTAAGATCCCTCTAAATGCCTCACAGCAAACACTACAAAAGAAAGATGAAAAAAATGGTTTTCCCAATATAGAACATGAACACAGCACAGCTGGACTGTCAAAACCATTTCAGCCTGTTCCCATGCAGACAGCAGAAAGTTCTTTCCCTATCGTCTCTGATGCTGCGGTTTTGGAATTTCAGTCTTCAACCCAAATCCCCAGTTTGTCAGACAATACTCAGCTTGGCCAGATACCACATTCTTTTGTAGACCAGATACCTCCCTTGCCTGCTGTCTCTGAACCTCTGATTTCAGCCACATCTCAACTTTCAAGCCCTCCTCACATATCAACAGCTGCATCCCAGCTGCGTATGCCAGCCCAGTCCCAGCCTGTCTCATCCACTGGCCCTGCCATGACTGCACCTCAGCCACCTTGTATGGTAGAATCAGATGGTGAAGGGCCACCAAGAGTTGATTTCACTGACAACACAATAAAAAGTCTGGATGAAAAACTTCGCAACCTACTCTATCAAGAGTATATTCCAACTTCATCTGCGTCAGCAGCAACACCAGACCAAGTAGACGGTGAATTTAATCTGGCACCTTTGCCTGCACTTGTCCTAGATTTGAAAATTCCTGGAGTTGGCATGGATGCTCACGTGGCTGAAGATCAACCTTCTCCAATTCTGGCAAGTCAACCCATTCACTCAGAAGTCATGCAGATGCCTGTTAAAACTGCTCTAGTTCTAATGGACCTTTTCAGCATTGGTCCTTTCAATGCCTTTTGGGGGCAAAGTTATAATTGTTGTCTATCAAATGTACTAATATCCTTTGTATTTAGATACTGAGGTATTCAGAAAACAAAGATTTCCTCCATTTTTAAAAAATGTAAATCTCCCACACCTCTAAAAACTTCTACATAAAAAAAAGAAATGCCCCTTATTAAAATTCATCACATTCATAATAATATCTTATTTACATTGGCACTTCTTTGAATCTCAGTATTATTAAATCAATTTTAATATCTTAAGCTAAAAGATGATTAACGTCAATATTGCAAAAAAGTAAATAAGGGTGAATCTGGATTCACAGCCTTATTTATTTTACTGAGCTGAGATGAAAATATCCATCATGGCAGAATTTCCTTTTTCACTTAAAGTTGGTTTTTCCTGCCTTTGTCCTTTCTAATGCTTTACTAGATCTAATAGGGAAAGAGGCCAGTTATATTATGTCTCATTTAGTAGCCAAATACAATATGTGGGTTTTAACACTGGATTCCAAAACACATTTGATAAAGATGTCCTTCACAAGTCAAAAGCTATAAACTCGCTAGAGTTTATAATGGTTGAAGTGAAAGAAAATAACTTTCCTTCTCTCCCAATATTATAATTCCAAACTGCATCAATTCACTCATCTCTATTGTATTGACAGAAAATCTGGGTTACACATGTCATCAGTGTCCAAGAGAAACTATGGGCACTGTAAAGAAAGCCTTCTCCAATTAATTTATTTTAGCTACATTAGTCTCAGAATGTCTTAATTCAGTGAATGGATGTATGTCAAAATTCATACATCTGGGTCTTCAGGCAATAAAAAGAGTCTGTGCCTTGGAAATGCTCAAGGAACCAGAAATTCTCCCAGTGGTTTGATTACTTATTGAAGATCTGGCTCACAGAATTTGTTCAGTAAAGAAACATGCCTTAGAAATGCTTTTCATATTTTCTGGACTTCAGAAAAACAGCAATAAATTCTTAATAAAGGAAGTACTTCATAATGGAAAATATTCAATCCAATCCTTGCAATCCTATACTAGGGTTGCACACACATGCACTCACACACACACACATACTTTGTTGGATCTTTCCAAGTATATCTCTGTTATTCTATCCATCCCTTTTTCTAATTGTTCTTAAGTTCATATGCTAGAATTCCTGGGATAATTTTTGACTGCCTTCAGGTTCATGTTCGTATTCAGAATGATTTCCAATATTCTAGTGCTGTAACTTTTTACAAGACATTATGTTTGCAGGTACATGTGTATTTAAGGTATCTTATATGGTTATGTGGTTCATCTGATGATTTCAGTCTTTGGGATTATATGCTTTTCTTTGTGACCTATAGAGACATAGGTTTCTAATTAATTTTATAAAAAATCATCTACAGCTTCTTTCTTAATAGCTGGAACATCTAAATAAAGATACACATAACCATCACTAAGGGCATTTAAGAAGGGAAGAAGATTTCACACATCTTCAGGTACTTGGCTAGATACCTAGAAATCACTATTAACAGCTTGAGATGTCTGACTTGGGCCCCAAATAAAATCTACATCTCCTACTTTTCAGAAATAGATTTCCATCTGATAGAGCTCTTTTTACAACAATATATGATACGCTTCCTGGTCGGTGAATGTGCTCAATCACATGCTCAGGGATTTTCCATTTCAAAGCCAGACAGTAATGTCAGATATGAGACTGTCAGGTTAGCAGTTAATAATGCCTAAAAATTACCCAGAAGAAAATATCCCTCACAATCATCCTTTTGAAGGTCCAAGTATTTTCTCCTGACCAACAGGGCCAATAGCACCAAGCTAAGAAGGTGGTATGTGTTGGTTCATCCTGTGAATATGATATAGTAAGGGATAAATTCCTCATACCTTTTCAAATTTTTGGTGTCCTATCTTCCTGTACGAAAACTCTGAAACCTGTCTTGACAAAACAGGAAACTTACATATTGAAATGTGTGTGCATGTATCTGTACACACAAGTTCAATGGAATAACAATTTTTCACAAATGATTTAGTCATCTGTTTCCCGAATGTAGTCACTTATGCACCAATGGAAGCTTTCCTCTCACTGTATAAGGCAAGCATGTGAGTAAGATTCTGATGAGAATTGTGGCATGGAGAAATGCTCTCCTCCTCTGACATTCTGGTGTCAATCTGGTTTGTCTGTGACAACAATATTTGTTAAAGAAAAAGCTGTGCATGAGCAAACCGTGTAAAACACATTTTATTTCATCCTTAATAAAAACCATATGAGATATGTTCCATTATTTCTTTGTAGAATCAACCCAGTGATAAAAAATTAAATTATTACCAAGTAGAATTTAGGTTAGAGTATTGCTTCTGCCTATCATTAATTTCAAAAACCAAATCCAACTTTCTGATATTTATTATGCTAACTTTTCAAATACATTGGATCCCTGTTCTTCTGTTATGCATTAGACCCTTCCTATTGGTATTTGTTAGGTGTTCCTATTCATCAGTGTTCTATTGGGGTTGTGAAGAAGAGAGGTTCTTCATCCAGAAAAGGACTTCAATATTACCTTCCAGTCTCAGAAGATGAGACTTCCAACTATTTTAACATATCCTTGTCTACAAGGAAAAGTTCTTTAGATAGGAGTATTATTGTTTAATATTTGAATAATTTAATGGCCCAGCTAATGTAAACCATACTTTTGATCATTTTCAACATGGTATAGAAAATTCAAACAAGAAAGGAAGGGGACTTATGTGAGCATTTGGCCAACTGAAATTCTTTAACCATAGTTGTAATAACAGGGACCTGGTAAAGAGTAATATGTCTTGGACATCTCAAACATACATCTTTTTTCTCAAATATATACTGGAGATATGTCAAAAATGAAGTCATTCTGTAGATTAATCCTTGGGGCCAAAGTAGATTATGCATAAAAATGTGTGTGTGCGCTCACATGTGTATATATATATATATATATATATATATATATTATTATGTTTGTAATTATTCTTGTACACTGCCAAGAGTTGTTTGGTTGTGGCGCTTTAGAAATCAAATAAGTGAACTATGTCCTATTTTTCTTGATTTTAATATAACTCCATGGTGGTACAATATGAATTAGGAACACCATATGTGAAAGAAGTCCACCCCCAAAATAAGGAGAGAAGGGAGGATTGGCTCCCCACTATGCCCTTCTTTGCATGGTGTTCTTCCAGAAGACTATAGTACTGTGAACTTAAGAGTAATATAAACAGGAAATGGGGTAGCATAATAACAGATTTTACATATCATTTAGGTTGTGAAAAAAGTCATCCAATAGGGATTCTGTCAGAAAACTGTTTGTATGTAATTTTATTTAAAATATTAAACATTAACCATGTGATGTATGAAAAAAATGAAATGCAAATCAGTGATATAAGAGTGATTTGCTTTAATATAAAATATAGAAATAATTGTAGAGATTTATATACAGATTAATTAATCTACCTCTATATAGATTAAAATCCTTGAAAGATTAATTTAAATTGTTGTGCTTTTGCTTCAAGGTGGAAAAATCAGAAGTTACTTGCACCAGGATCCAGCATTCAGAAGTAAACAAAATATCAACAAGCAAAGCAGGTACTAAACATAACTTCAATGTATATTTTTCTTTCTAAATATCCTTTTGATTATCTAACATGTGGTAGGTTATTAGATACAATTATTAAGAAAGCTAGGAATTACAGAATGTATACCACATATTTCACAATAGTTAGCAATGCAGAATATGGTAATTTCAAAATAAAATGTAAAGTGTAATTCTCATGTAAATTTATACATGTAAATTTATGATGATAATAGGTAAAATATCTTAAATATGAACTGTATATAAGTAATGCTGCCACTTCTAGTGGGGAAGCCAAGCCATATAAATTATATACATATGGTTTTGAACAACATGATCTATATTTGTGATGGAATGTATCTACAAGGAGGAGAGTGATGTGGGAGATCAAGGCCATCAGGAGGGAGGGGGCGCATTCCAGGAGAGGAAAGGAGACAAGAGACAGCACGGTCTGCAGGGGGGAGCATGAGAGGTGAAAGAGGTTCAGGATAGCCACTCCCTAGAATCTCCCAGGGTATATCCACTAGTTGCTGTAGTATAGATGTAGTTTGGCAAGATTCTGTCTATAAGGTGAAAGCAATAAAGGAACTATACTCGACTAGTCTGTTTCCCCATTGTTCTTGGGCTGGGCCTGACAATATTTTACATATTGTATATATACATTATTCAAGTAATTTTGTGCAGGAAAACACAAAGTGCAAACTGGGAAGGCATGATTTTGTTCTCTATCATATATCAGTGTTGTCCAAACTTGGCCACTTTAAGATGAGTGGACTTCAACTCCCAGAATTCTCCAGCCAGCACTGATATACATGAAAAGCAGGGAGACATTTTTTTTCTGAACCAATTTTAACTGGAAAAATCTGAAATGTCACCATTCTTAATTATGAAGACCATGCATCATTTTTCTGTGATGCATCTTTGAACATTATTTTACTGAATAATGATTGTATGCAGGTAAATATCCTCCTATTTTCTTTTAAGCCTTCTTAATATATAGTATTAATTAGCCATGCTGCATGGAATGCCCATCTCATTGAATTTATAAAATGTACATCATGGTGATATCAAGTTTTGCATCTACTACCATTAATTTATATTTAGTTCATATATATCTGACCTATAGTCTTGAATACAACAGTGAAACTGGGGCTATGGCCTTTTAGGATTTCATTAAATAAGAATTCTTCATATTTAACTTTTGCTTTGCTCTAAAATTGACTGATCCAGATGTATGTGCATTTTTTGTTTCCAATATATTAAACAGGTCAAGCTGCAAATGTCAGTTCACCTACTACTACCCTACCATCAGGATTCACTCAGGTACTGTGATCATACTCCTATATTCTCTTTTTTCTACATCTTATCCCATTCCTCAGACAATTGCAGCTAATGAAGGCCACTGTTAATTTCTATAAAAATAATGTTTCAAGGTAGATAGCATATTAACCAACTGAACCTTTCTTTTTTTTTGTTATTTCAGGTTGTTTCTTCTTCATCACTTATAGCAAGCCAGAAAGACATTGCTAAGAGGAATGAAAAGGAGAATGTATTACTTGAAGAGAAAAATAAATCTCAAAAAGATGATTCTATAGACTCCAGTTTTAATGTCAAAGAAGCTGAGACACCAGCAAAAACTATAGGCAGATTTTCAGTGATCAGCACCCAGGATGAGTTAACTTTACCATCTGTGCATTCCTTGCGGTATTCTGCACCCCCAGATGTTTATCTGGAAGATCAGCCTTCTAGCCCTGACACGAAGACATCTGTGTGCCGTGTGCAGACAGCTTCTTCTTTTGATGTCCTTTATGGAAAGGATTCCAGTGATTCTGGAGATGAATCTCTTCGGGGAAAACAAGATGCATCTCCACTGTCACCTCAGAGCAGTAGAGTGGGAAATGACTACATTAAAAAGACTTCATCTATTCTGCAAAAGTCTGTAAAGTCAAGTTCACAGGGCCTTAATTCTCCAAATGGATCAAAAATCCCAACTATCAACATAACTTCTTTCCATTCTCAGTCATCATATGTGAGTAGTGACAATGACTCAGAGTTTGAAGATGCAGACATGAAAAAAGAATTGCAGAACCTGAGAGAAAAGTATGTTTCCATTTTATCCAAACAGAGGGTCTTTTGTGCATGTGTTTGAGCAGCTTATCCAAATACAGTTTGACATCCTTTGTCATTTGTTCCTTTATTTTGAAAACATTTATCTCAAGTTGTTTTATGCATTCCATGTATAAATATTCTTTCTATGTTTTTGTTCTCACTGTGTTGATAAAAGCAACATTCTGTAGTAAAGAAAAATTGGACATCATATATTCCAAAACAAAAGTGGCTTTATTCACCAAGAGACATTTTAATTGCCTTCAGAACTGCAAAATAAATGGTATTCACATCAAGCAAGGACATCATATACTTAGGAATCTTTTTTCAATCATTTATAGCTTGGAAGAAACAGATAAAAAATAGTACTACTTGAGCTGGAAAGACTTTCAGCAATATAATTTGGTTTGCTAGTTGCAATGGCAATAATTTTGCCCCAGATGCAATAAAATTATTTAGGGCAAAGATACGCTTTGTCTATAAAAGACACATGGGCTTTTAAGGCAAACCCATCTAAATTGTTAAGGGTAATGTTTTGTGTTTCCTGTTGTCTTGAATGCTCTTCTGTGGCTGGAAATTAATCTTGCCTCCAGTGAAGCTCACTTGAGAATTTGCTGATTAAAGTATTGGTATACTAGTCTCAGTGGAAGAGTCTCTGGCCTAGTTAATTCCTAGACTGTTTATCCCTGTTCTTGGATTTACGTTATTGTGGCTTCTCCACCCAAGTCTAGATGATGCTGGGGCTTGAAAGAGCCACTTAGACCTCGATTTATAGAGAGATAGGAGTAAAACTCCATATTATTGCAATGGCAGCCTCTGTATTGGGCTTTTACTTTGTCCAGTTACTTTGCCAACACCCTCTCCATCCCATATTGTCTGTTCTGTTGCACTGCCCTATGCATCACCAATGGTATTCTGAAGAAATAACACTTTTGTTAATTAAACTTGTGGATTGGCCTGAAGAGACAGATGCTTTCTTTTCTGATGAATGCAGATTTGTTCATAGACAATTTATGGACATGTTGCATAAATATCTGTGTGTGATTGCCATAAGTCTTTTTTACATTGGAAATATCTGCAGACTGCTTTTCTGCTGTCTGTACATGTTGTTATACATTTTATTAATTTCTTGATTTTCTTTTCTTTTTTTCCTTACTATGTTAATCTCCTGTTTTGTGTTTTGATTGATTATGTATCATTAAGTCGATGTGATCTCTTAATGATGGCATAGATAGAACTTCTGCAGGATGATCTGTCTCCAACCTGGCCCCTCAGATTTTCTAAGAATGCACCCATTACTGCTGAAGTTGAGTCCATCCACCTTGCTGTTGGTTGTTCTCTTCTTGCCTTTCCTTCCATCTTTCCCAGCATTATGGACTTCTCAAGAGATTTGGGTCTGTGCGTAATGTATCAAAAATAGGATGATTTGAGCCTGGCCCTTTGTGCCTTGAGTGAGAATTGTATATTGATTTGTCTGTTTGTTTGTTTGTTTTTTTGGCTATCCATGATATTCTTGGGAGTCTTCTCCAACACCAAAGTTGAAAAGTGTTCATACTCTTTCTGTTCTGCTTCTTCAAAGTCCAACTTTTGTTTCCATGGAGTGTCACAGGAAAAATTATTGCCTGCATCATTCTGAATTTTGTTGGTACAGGCACATTATGACATCCAAGTATCTTTTCCAGGGCCTTCAATGATACCCTACCACCAGCCATTCTATGGCATATTTCTTGATTGTTGATTCCTTTACTGTTAATTGTTGATAGTAGATCCTAAAAGGTAGACACTATCTTCAGTGTCAATTCTTAGGTTGGGTGCTGGACCTGTTGTCATTAATCTGAACTTACTTATATTTAATTTTAGTCCTATTTTTTCACTGCTCTTTGAGTTTCATTACTAGAGTTTCTGTTCATTTGTATTTTCAGCTATCAGAGTACTGTCATCAGCATAGCACAGGTTTTGTTTTTACTCAGCTGTACTGTTTTTGGTATTTTAGTCTTTGCCTATAAATTATTATTATTTATTGTTTGCCTTTCATGGCAAAGTCTGCTTTGAGTTGAGCTGGATTGCTGATGACACATCTGGCCATGTAGTTTTCTTAGCAGCAACACAGAATGCTTTCCCATTGCTTTCTTTCGGGATGTTAGTGTTCAGGCCTGGGACTTCACAGTCTAGCTTACAGGCTTCATATTACCTTGGGATTTCCCATCCACGTACCACCCAGGCCTACCCTATTTAGCTTCTGAACCCAATCAAAGTGCTGCCACTTGGTGAGAGAACGCCCACTACTAATGCTTGCAGCAAAGTCATAAGTGTTCTCAGGGCCAAATTCCAAGTTGTTGAATTCAAATTCATCAACTCTCTTGGTTGTTGTTTTAGTTTTTCATGTTTGAATCTCTTTGTTTCCTGAGTTTCCATATTCCTTATTCATTGACAATATCATTGTTAACCTGTTGCATTTGAATGATCTAGGCATTTTCTTGTAACTATTATATTTTGTCCTATCCCACTGCTACTTTTCCTTTATAAATTTACAGTAAGGCAGGTTATTCTTCTGTTCCCTTACCAAAAACTTCTGATTATTGTTTGGATTATTTTTCATCATCAGTCTTGCTGTTTCATGCTGGTTCTTTCACTATATTTAGCACCTGGCTGTCAAAACAATTCACTGTTCTTATTGTTTTGATCATGCAACCTTCTTAAAATATATATGCTGGCTTCTTCACTGCTCCTGAATGATGCACAAGCTTGCATAAATGTGCCTTCTTTTTTGTCATAGAGATGGTTTTTGTATTTGGACCACAAGCCATGGTCATGACCACTAATCTTCATTTTGGAATTTATCTCATACAATATAATTGAGAAAAAAAAGTATTTGAGAATGAAGTGATAAAAATGGGTATTCTAAGATATGTAGTTAGATATATAGATGTTTTCATTTAAGAGTTACTTTCCTTCAGTGTTGTTTTGTTTATTCTTCAGACACATGAAAGAAATTGCTGAGTTGCAGTCTCAACAGAAAAGAGAAATAGAAGCTTTGTACGTTCGTCTGGGAAAACCTTTACCACCAAATGTTGGTTTCCTTCATTCTGCCCCACCAAGTGGCCGTCGAAGAAGAACAAGCAAGAACAAGTTAAAAACTGGGAAATTGCTAAACCCTATTGTCCAGCAGCTCAAAACAACATCTAGTACAAGTATGTTTAGCAGATATAAAAGTGCTATCATTTTCCTTTTAACAGACATACATTAAACAGTGAACATTTCAAACTGTGGGTTATTCTCATAGGTTTTGGTTTTTGTATTTTGCAGTTGTATTGTTCAGTCAAAGGAAGGGGGAAAGATCTATAAGATGGAATGGCTTTATTTGCCTTTAGCTTTTGGGGTGAGGGGATTAAATTAAGTTGAACCATTAAATGCAGCTTAGCAAAACCATATTAAACCATTTCAGTAAGCTCCTTTCATTTTTATTTTTTATTATTATGTCTAGTTTATTTACATTGCGCAAAACGTTCTTAGAAACAAGGATGGTCTTGAGTTTGGCACGTCAGTGCGCAGTATGAAAACGTTTCATTTAGTTCTTTAAACATTAAAATAATGAAAATAAATAAAATCAGGTGGATCGTGGACTTGGTGGAGACCGACATTAGTGTCCATGAATATCAAATTGGAGTCTCAAACGCTACACTATGGGTAAAAACTGTAAAACTGGCCATTGTTGATTCTATATATTGAGAATTTACAAGAATGTTTGATTCTCTGCAGCTGGTTTTCTGAGCATGTACCAGCAGTAGAGTTTGGTCAATTAAAAATTCTTCAGAATATTTTAAGTTTTCTTCAGTAAGAGTTTCAGATCCTTTTATTCCTTTCCGATTAATGATTTTTGCATACGTCCTGTTCAGGTAATATATCAGACTATAAAGATCCTTTGGCTAAGGGAAGCACTAGAGTTCAGACTGACTCTACTGAAGCAACAGGACTGACTGTATCCACATCAGCCATCCTTGAAAGACCCGTTCAGACTCAGCAACCTTGCTCTGTCAAAGCTTCCTTATCCTCTGACATTTGCTCTGGAGTAGCTTCTGAAGGAGGTGATGTCCGTGGAAATTCTGGCCAAGGTGATTTTATATCTTTAGAGTCATCATTCATTCTATGCTTAAAACAGTGATTTTTCCACAGGGAAACAAAATATGTGTTAAACTGGGAAAAGGAAGTTTTAGGCTTTCTTTTTACTTTATTTACTGATTAGATTTCTAAACCACCTTTCCTCCAGGACCTCAAGGTGGTATACATAGCACTCCATGCTCCAATTTTTCCTCACAACAGCAACCCTGTGAGGTAGGTTTAGCTAGAGATAATGTCCAGCCCAAGCTCACCCAAAGAAACATCTGCTCAACATATTGATTCAAAGCCTGTAGAAATTGTGCTAATTGTGATACAAATAGAAAAGTTACTGATGTAATTAATTCTAACAGCAATTTCACTGACCGTGCAAGGGGTAGATGTCTAACTTGCTAGTGTCTGTTTTGAAAATGAGCAATAAAAGAAAAATCAGTAGAGTGTAAATAAAGAATGCAGTTTCTATTAATGTTATATAGAAGAACAGGTAGAGCGTAGAGCACTTTAAAAAAAGATCAGTAACATGGTCCCTTGTAGACTGAAATCATTTACAAATTGGGAAGCTGACTCCTTTTTACCTTGCTTCATATTCTTAGGTTCTCTTAGCTCCCCATCCTTTCCTGCAGATGCAGAGTTTTTGGCATTAAACCGTACTATTGGCCTGTAAAAATTGAATTTAGCAATAGTTACTCTTCAATCACCTTGCATGAATTCTGGCTTCATTAGAAGGTCTATTACTTTCCAGAGACAATTTCACAGAGTCGTAGCACTGTTACCTCTCATGGCAGTGCTTCATTGCGGAATGGTAGCAGTAACTGCTGCAAAGTGTAAGGATGATTATAAACGATCACCTCTGGTTTTGCATGTTCTGCCCAACTAATCCTACGAAGTATCTATTTTCTTCTGCTGCTGTTTTCACCCCCTTTTGCTTATAGCCAATGAACTTACTCCTCTGGGGCAAGGTTAAAATGGAGGTGTGGATGATTAACTAACAAAGCTGATATGACTGATGGTGACATCTGATCGCAGCTATTTGTACTTTATAAGTGTCTTTGTTTTCTTCCCTTTATATTCATTTGCAGGCTGGACGGTTTTCCACCAAACGTCTGAGAGAGTGACCTATAAATCTAGTAGCAAACCTCGTACCAGATTCCTCAGTGGACCTGTGTCTTTGTCCATCTGTTTGTATTTGTTCTTTTGTATTTTATCACAGCCCATCTTTCTTTTGTCATCCTTTCCAAAATTCATTTTCATCAATTTATCTAATATGCTTGGCAGGAAGCCCCTTCTTGTAGACAATCTCTTTTTTCCCCCTTTTTTTAAAGTAATCATCTTAATTTAATTTATTTTGTTTCATATGGAAAGCTTTTGAACACTGCTTTTGGCTCATGCCTGGGTATCAAAAGCATGTGTGGAAGATCTCATCATTTATTCTCTAGTCTTATGGTAAATTCTATCTTGGACGTATCTTTATGTGATTTTACGTTTAAGTAATTTTTAATTTGCAATGTGACAGTTATAAATGTCTGCTGTCCTGATTCCGGCGATACCAAAATGAAACCCAGTCTTCTGTAGACGAATGGTCTCTTTCACACATGCTTGGACTATGAAGACATGCATGTAGCAAGCTGATACAATTCTAGAAGGTCACTGAAGGGTAGAACATCTGCACAAGGGCTGTATTCAAACAATATACAGTACTGTTTATATCCACTTTGTTGTTGTTGTTGTTGTTGTTGTTGTTATTATTATGTTATTTCTCCTACCCCTTGCATGTAGAAATGCTGAGAAATGCTCCTGCTAGCTCTTTAATACCATCTTTTCTAGGCAGCATTTTCCCCCACATTGTATACTTTGGGTTACTTTAAATGAATGTTCTTAAATATGACTGTATGGTTACCAGAAAGTACAATATGGCTTTTATTAGACATTCACCTAGCTGGAGCACTTCACTCAGTTGATTTTTATTATGACCTTACGTGACCTCAGAGATGAAGTCAACAAGCAGTTCATCAAAGCACAGAATAAATTCAAACACTCAGAATAGTCTATTGATATCATGTCCAGATGCAACCAAAATTAGACTGTTCTTGAACGTATGATTATACTAATTGGCTATTCAACCAGTTTTCACAAATACTTATTTTCAAATTTGTTTTTGTAAAATACGTGCTTATTATAAGGCAAAATAGTTTGGGATATTTTGGTACAATAAGGCTATATTGTACTAATGAGAAAAATTAGGCATAGTTAAAAGTAAGGCAAAAAATATATATAAATATATATATATAGTTAACATTCAGCAAATTCAGTATTCATTTTCATCAAACCTATCATTGGAACTGTACATTTTTATCATTATTACAGAGGTACAAATCAAAGGCACAAAACTACTTAAAATTCATCCTTTTTGCTTTCCATTTTTAATAAAATAATGTAAACATCATTAAACTTATAATGAAAGGGCTTTTAAGTATTCGTATACATCTTAGTATATGAACAATAATATTAAAATTCAGCTATAATTTCAAGATAGAGAGATCTAATATTCTTGGATTGTTTGCCATATAAAACTTGTTTGATAGTTACGTGTGGTAGTTCAGGCATGATATGTATGCAGAAAATCCAAGTTCAGTGTCTGGCATCTGCAAGAAGAACTGGAAAAATTCTTTCATAGATCCTGGGACAATCAGTGCTAACTAACTGCTATTAGCAGTCGTGGGCGGTTGCTCACCATCTACCATATTGGTTGGAAGGGACCAATGATCTGACTCAGCATAAGGTTCCTTCCAGTGTACCTATGTTCAGAATGATAGATTCAGTTGTTTTTGACAGCTGAGCTCTACATAGCAATTGTTAATTTTATGGTACCAGTGTTATTAACTGCATTGGGTCTGAAGACCAATATGATCAAAGATAGCAGAGAAACTGTTTTATTCTTATAATTATTCATCTTGTAAGTATTCATATGAGCCTGCCAGTTTTTAATAACTATCTCACAGATTATACGAAAATACTCAAAGGTCGACTATTACCCCTAAGCTGTGAAATTATTAATTGTTTATGTGGTACAAAATGAGTAATTGAATTTGGTTGGGATGGAACACCAATTGGCATCTGATGAACCAGCAAAATCATGACAGACTCCTTACTCTTTGTGGACACATGTAAAGGGAATATAATCCTGTAGGTTACTTTATAAAGTTGAAATCAAACTTACACGTAATACATTGAAATCTTATAAAATCTGGAAAAACAGTTCTAGAAAAAATACTTAAGTTTATAGTAGTTTGCATAGAAACTTTCTCTTTTTTTAAAAAAAAAAGTATAGCATTTAAATATGTACATAATGCCTTGGGAATATTCATCTTAATTATAAACTTGAAACCTAATTACATGAGCATCTTGACCGTATGCTCTCTTAAAACTAATTTGTGGTATAACACTCACTTTAAAGACTGGACTTTATACATAGGTACAAAGGTAACAGATCATGCAGGAAGTTTCTTCGTTTGCACAAATCTTCATCATTATAGCAGGGGCAACT